AAAGAATTTTGGCACTGAGTGGTGCTCTGAGAAGTTCCGACTACCGAGAACTATTTAACGTGCACTGAAATTACGTGCGCACGGGTATTTCTGCATTTCTCCCGCATTTAAACACGGCACATGCTGCCGCGGTCGAACTTGTGTCTGCAGACTAATTTTAGCTGAGCTCTCGACGACTAAGCCTCCGCAGCGGGGCTTTCTGACGGCTCTGCACACTCTGCAAGTATCGAGATTCACGGGTCTAAAACATTGGCTTTGCGTGCTTGTTCTGAAGTATCGGAATGCTCTACAGCTTTACAAGTGTAAAGAAGTTTGCAGACATGGGCAGTTGGACACGAAGTTTATTGCTTGTGCGCTACGTGTCCCAAAGTTCGCAACTATCAGTAGCGGGTAGGTTCCCCTCCAGCTCCAATAACCGCATTAATTCTATTGGGGAGGCTGCTGTATAGGGACCGACAAATGTTGGTGTCGGCCCTGATTCGCTCCCACTCCTCTTGAACAATGGCCCAAAGCACGTCCGCTGAGACGGCACGGAGTTGTCGGTGCGCCAGCGCAAGCTTCATGTTCCCCCACACATTTTCAATAATATTTAAGTCAGGCGACTGTGGAGGCCACTCAAGAACTGCCACGTCGCGACGCTCTAAATATGCAGCAACTTTCTTTGATTTATGAATGGGGGAGTTGTCATGCTGCAGGATGAAATCGTTCTCTGGGAATGGTCCCCCAACGAGATATGGGAGCAGTACGTCGTCCAAGAGCCCGCAGTAGGCATCTGCCGTGAAGCGACCTTCAATTCTGACAAGGGGTCCCAGCCCTTGAGCGGTTACGGCGCCCCAAACGCTCACTGCCGAACGACCGCTGGCTGCCACTCGTTGCATGTATTCCGGCATATACCTGCAAAAAATCAACATAAGTTATTAGCGTCTGAATCAAATCCGAAGGACATGAATTATGTTCTAGGTGGTTCACTCTTGTAGCTGTTGGATATACAGCCGCCCATTTTTTATCCTGAACGCGCGAACGTCGACCGCCCAGTCGATAAGCGCCGTTTAACGAAGCACATCGGCAAAATAAACGAGAATACGTGCATCCCTGCGATGAACAGTCCTGTGCAGCTGACTTCTGCTAGGCTGTTTCGGGAACCGCACACCAGGACGCCCGAAACATGCGCTTACAGACTCGATGGTCGATGCTCGCGCATTCAGGTTAAAAAATTGGCGGCTGTACTACATTGACGGGACCAAACAAGTTTTCACTTGATGACGTCATACAAAATATGGCAAACGGCGCCGTATTTTTCTCACCTCACATCGCAACATAGATGACAATTTATAACATACCCCTAGACTCTGGCAGAACGTCTTTTCTAAGTATCGCACAGTGCGAGTAAATTGTTTCTTTCATATCTACTATTTTATTGGAGCAAATACTCTCTATTCTATTACATCCAGTATCTTCTGGCCAAAGTTTGCCTGAACATGGCTTAAACTAAATTTAAACTTTTGGACTGGCATTATTATCAGCTGATCATATCTGTCCGCTGAAACAGAAGTATTCTCATTATTATTATTATTATTATTATTATTATTATTATTATTATTATTATTATTACTTTCGCTTATATGAACACATTTATCGTAAGGGCAATATTTCCTGAATCTAAAAGGTATTGTGGTAGTTATTATGCAGAGAATGCAGTGACGGCAGGCAATGCGGCATTTGTCTTCTTTGAAGTAGTTTCATAACGGTTTCGGGCCACCAAAACACGTTCTGGAATACGGGAACTTAAGTAAGTGTTACCTACCGGCAGTTTTGGGGCCGCCAAACCCGCTGCCGCTGGTCCCACCTTGTCGTAAACGAAGATTCATCAGTGAAGACGACCTTCGCCCAGTGTTCCTCGGTCCATTGCAGGTGCTCTGTTGCAAAGTCGAGGCGTTTCTGCTTGTTCACTCCACTTACGATGGGCTTCTGAACTGCCGTTCGAGACTTAAGGCCTGCCGCGTACAGGCGACGTTTCACGGTCGTGTTAGAAACACGCGTCAGCCCTGTACTTTGCTTGATTTCATCAACAGTTGCGCTAGGATTGTCCACAGCTGCTGCCACTATGGCCATGTCCTCATTTTCGGTTGTTACTTGCGGGCGAGGTTTGCGTGGAGCATCCGTAATCTTTCGTTCGTTCCTATACGCCTGGATTATACGGTTAATTGTGGAGAGCGGCCGATTTTTCATTGCAGATATCTGCCTTTGCGTATGGCCTTGCAGGCTCAGGTCCACAATGTCCCTCCTTTCGCTTTCGGGAAGACGCGACATAGCTGCTTGTCAAACGTTCACCGAAAAGTGATGCAGCCTTCCTAGGTCGCAGCCGTTTTTTTACCGAGCGAATGCCATAAAAGAGCAACAAAATAGAAAGACCACAGTTCCTAACTGAAATGCTCATAGCGTGATGTTAGGCCAGCCAATCAATATAATCTCAGTAAAACAACGTCTTCTGACTCGAGCGTATACAGCTTTTCATTGGACAGACGGCACAGTTAACTTGAGAATCATGTGCAACCCCGTATCCGTATCGCCAGGAGATAAGAATGTGTGATGCCCATACTACATGAACCCCAACAGGCCCGCTTAGGGTGATCTTGGAAGGCCAGAATGTGACGGCCCAGCGGAACTTTCTGGACGAGTTCATTTACACGTGTACTGACGATCAAGGTGAAAAAAAAGCGAACCAGACACCACAGACGCTAGCGCCGTCCCGTCCATTTCCCTGTTTGTGTTTCTTTGAGCGACTTATGTTTCGATAACGTGCACGTGGGTGAGACGGCAGGCTACTTCAGCAGTGGCCCCAAGAATATTGTAAGTTATTGTCCAAAAATATGCTGAGGTTAAACTTAGGGCGAACTCGCATAAGACACTCCCCGAAGAAAAGACACGACACATACAAGCACTGTGTGTGGCGTGTACGGCTCGTCGGCTGAGTGCACGGAAGGCTGAAATTAAATCAGAAGTATAGGGTACTAAAGTACGAAGGAGGAGGGGAAGAACGTCAAGGCGCTGACGCAGTCCTTGGGATTTTATCACACATTGAAAACTTATAAATTGTTGCGTTCCTTGAGTTTGGCTAGGGGGTAGTAAAGACAAGAATCTGGAAGATGCGACCCTCAAGAAGAAGCTGTTTTCCGACGGTCGGGCATTTAAGTGGTGATCACGGTGTCATTACTCGCGCAGGTATATTGCAGTGAATTACATGTTTAAGCAGAAGGGTGGACACGTATAAAGTGGTGACAAAGAGTGGGGCCCCTGTTTCCCACTAAAAACCTAAATGGACGGAGCAAACGAAGCTATTCGTATAACAATACAGCAGAATAAAAGAGGTGCAATGCAGGCCTCCGCGGAAAGTAAGTGCCAGAATATAAACGCCCCGATGTTACGTGATATTGATACTTTTGAAAAAAGACAAGAGACCTTAAGACCAACGTCGCGGGATGAATATTCAGCTGGTGTTTCGTCATGGACAGAAAATGAAACAGTGCCCGTGCGCACGCAGTTTCAGGGCACGTTAAATATTTCCCGGTAGTCGAAACTTCTCAGAGCACCGCTCAGTGGCGAAATTATTTCGCGGATTTAAACACCGCAAACCAAGCAAAACCACCACTCTAGAGTTTGCAACAATGTATACATTACACTGGTATTATGGTACTTAAACAAGAGGGACCACTCATTTATCAAATACCGTAACTACAAAACACGTTGCGCTGAGCGAAGCCCGCTTTCCGGCAACGCTTTGTGGTTTCTCAGGTGCATTAAGTTTGCTTCACGGCAAAACAGGCGCGGCGCGCTCCCGCGCTTTTAATCGAAACGAAGCCCCGCCTCCAAGCTCTTGTGCGCCTGTGCCGATAAGCTTCGATGCGCGGCCGCACCGCTAGCGCTGGCGCCCCGCGGAGCGCAGCCACGCGGCGCGGTGTTCGTACTAAGAGTGGACGACCCTGTACGTAAAAGAAGTGTCAAACAAACCAACAAGAAAAACAAAAAAAGATATTATGGGAGTAATTTTTAGATGAGTGATATCTACAACGTGCAGCCGAATGTAAGAGTTGAGTATGGCTCAAAAAGGTGAACTGTTTGTCAGCACAATCGATGTGCTGCTGACGCGTTTATCGGAACACCGTCTGATATGAAAGGCGTCTATTATTTCCCAGGGTAGCCTGTTTCTGTGATTAAACAGAATGCCCGCGTCATAGCAAACAGCATAACTTTAACGTTTCCTGCAATGCTCGGCTAGGTGGGATATGTTCATTAAGGCGAGTGTTTGATGATTGATTTGTGGGGTTTAACGTCCCAAAACCACCTTATGATTATGAGAGACGCCGTAGTGGAGGGCTCCGGAAATTTCGACTACCTGGGTTTCCTTAACGTTCGCCCAAATCTGAGCACACGGGCCTACAATATTTCCGCCTCCATCGGAAATGCAGCCGCCGCAGCCAGGAATCGAACCTGCGACCTGCGGGTCAGCAGCCGAGTAGGTGACCACCGGGGCGGGGCACTAGACCACCGGGGCGGGGCAGTGGGTTTATCGCGTAGTATTTTATGTATTTCATGGGTATTTGTAGTTAGCAGGAAAACATTTATAATTAGTAGCTTTTTCATTCAATTTTGTACTCATCTTTATTTTTTTTCAGCAGTTGGTTGGTTAAAAGGTCTAATTAAACAATATTTTAGAACACAAAATATAGTCTGAGTAACGCGAGGCAACAGTAAGCAACATGTATTTAGTGGCGTCGTAATTGCGTGTGTCGGCATATATTTAAACTCTGGCTAAATATAACTGGGGAACTGTATGCACGACCGCAGGGCCATAAATTAATTATCTATACCCTGCACCTCACGAACTTTCCAGTTTCTTTTGAAATGCAAACATTTTTTTTCATTGTTCCCTAAAATTTTCATTGTTCCATGCCACTCAATTGTGCGCATGGAAGCTTATCAGTTTCCCCTGTTTCATGCAGGCCCTGCTGTCCCAAAACAAGAGCGGCAACGATACCGCGGAGCTACACCGACAGCTGGAGAGACGTCTACTCTCGTTTCTTGACCGAAGAGCCATCGACACCGACACGCTAGCCGCACTGCTCGCTGCGTACACACTACTTATCCTCACTGGTGCCACGGGCAACGGGCTGGTCTGCTTGGCGGTAGCACGGCGACCCAAGATGCGCACGGCGCGCAATTTGCTGATTGTGAACCTAGCGGCCGCCGACCTTCTGCTCTGCCTCTTCACCATGCCATTCTCGCTGGTGGAAATTGCGCTCAAGATCTGGCCACTGGGTGGCACAACGTGCAAGTTGGTGGCTGGTCTGCAGGCCACCAGCGTTTTTGTTTCGACGCTGAGCATCACGGCCATCGCCATCGACCGCTACCTTGTTATTGTCTATCCAACCAAGCAGCACTGGTGCTTCTCGGCGCTGGTCGGCATGCCGCTCATCTGGCTGCTGGCACTGCTTCTGTCCGTACCCATGTTCATGTACCGCGTGCTCGACCACATCGAGCTGCCGGATCCCGCGCGAGGCACAGTGGTGCACCTCGAGTACTGCGTAGAGCACTGGCCCGTCGAAGAGGGCCGCTTCTACTACTCCATCTTCTCAATCGTGTTCCAGTACTTCATGCCCATCACCACCGTGACTGTGGCCTACGCGAGTATTTGCCGCCGCCTGCGCGTGCGACTCGTAGCCAAGGCTGGCCCGCTGAACCAGAGCGCACCCCGCCAACAGCACGACAAGCGCCGCATGCACCGCACCAATGTGCTCCTAGTGGCCATTGCCGCCATATTCGCCGCGAGCTGGCTGCCGCTGCACATCCTCAATCTGGTGGCTGACTCGACGCCCAGCCTCACGGCAGACTCTCGCCTTTATCGTGTCTACTTCGCCTGCTGCCACATGGCCGGCATGAGCTCGGCCTGTTCAAACCCTCTGCTCTACGGATGGCTCAATGACAATTTCCGACGCGAGTTCCGGCGCATTCTGTCCACATGCTGTCCGCGGCTGCGAACTCGGCGTGCGTCGGCTACTGGGCCGCCTTCGGAGAGCAGGCCGCTCACGGGGCAGGCGCTCGTGCTGTTTCGCCGCCAACAGCGGCCTCACACCCAAGACACTTGCGTGGAAGCCGCTCCGCCGCAACCAGCCGAAGACCAGTACGAGACACTTGTCGTCCTCAGCCAGCCGTGAACTCGACAGATGGCCAGTTACTATCACCTACAAAATTTTACAAAAGAAACTGTCTTCATACTGCCTTCAATATTCTGGTACGGCTCACAGCTACCTTATGAAATGTCAGGACTTTTCAAAGCACACTAGATGCCGTGAACTGAGCTGTACTTTTTTATTATTTAGTTCAAATGCGTGTTTAGTTTAAACAGCAGCGCCCTACTTTACTAAGCTGTGGTGCACACTGCAATGCGGCTGAGCTACTATGGCTGCACTTGTGAATAATCGTGGTTATTGAGTGTATCTGTAACTGAATGTGCTGCATTGCGGAAAAATTGTGGAAGCCGTAGGTAACTTCGAAAAAGGTATCTTTTGGTACCGGCTACGTGGCAGCCATAGGCTTGCGCAGGGTATACCCCGCTCGAAGAGGCAAAGTTTCATCGCAAAGCCTCTTCCCATTTTGACCGAGTCTGGAAGATGTGTGTCACACTAAATGAAAAAAAAAATGAAAATTGGGTGATAATGTGCTTTCCACAACGGTCTGCTTTAGGCCCCTGGCTTTTAGGCACTAAAGATTGAATGTCAGCAGTTATTGGAGTGCAACAATGTCGTCTGAAAAGAGAACCTGTATAGGTGTACCCTTAACGGGAAGTGTTCGACTGAGTGTTATAAAACAAATTTTCCCTCTTTTCCCACCCCTTCGTGTGCACGCCTGAGGATACATTTATGACTCCGTCTCCTTTGCGTAGCTTGAAGGTCACACAGCAGCGACACCTTACTTTACAATGATGCGTTGGAGAATCGTCAATCTTTGTGTTATAAAACACTATCTTTGACTGTTGTCATATGAATTTTATGCTCAGATTGTTTTCAGGGACTTCATTTTTCGGAAGTAGACTCGCTGCTCAATGCCATCTTAATTTGTTCAATGCCCATTTAAGTGCCACTGTTTTCGATTTACATGTTAATGGCCCTTCCTACCAATTTGCATTCGTTGTCCAAGAGAAAAAACGGTTGTACAGCACTAGTATCTGTTCCTTATCGCTGAGTGACGAATTACAAAGCGACAACAACACATATCTAGAGTATCCAGTTTCTTCTAAGCTATAGATCCTGAAAAGTGGTCATTGTTAAAATGTTCATCTGTAGTTTCAAGTCTGCGGACACTGTATTATCAAGTTCCTGGTGAAATAAAGGGCCTGGGTATTCTCGGTGTTGAAAACTTGCATCTGAAGTGTGGGTAATGATGGCAACATAGCAACGCTTACTAAATAAGTCTGTTTTTGTGTCAAAGCGAATCTACGATGCAGCAAAATTCGTAGAGTCACAGCATTAATACGAGGACGGATCATCCGCGAATGTGTATTAGCACTTCTGCCACAGACACTCCACAGACACCGGAAGAAGCGACTGTCCTCGATGACGTTATTTCTCAAACTCAACAATTTTTGTGGTCTGTTTTCGTCTACAATGATCCGAAAATAAATGTTTCCCAAACAAAAGGCAAGTTAAAACAATCCAAGAATTCAAGATTTGTGAAACTTTTAACAAAATGACAAAAAGAAAATGGCATTCATAAAAAGTACGAGATAGCCTAGAAAAATCTAAAAATATAAGCAATGCCAGCCATATTGATAAAAATTCTCAATAATAGCATTCATCACAAGTCTGAGGTAACCGTAAAACATTTAGAAATGGAGGCTTTGCAAAGGTATTACCATCGCAAAAATGCCGAAAAGAATACTATCATGACAGTGTGAGGTGACTTCCAAAACTGAAAAAAAAAATTCATCTTTACTTTTTTGATTTTCAGAGGTCACCTGACAATTTTGATGAATTTTAAAGATTCACAAAGGTAAATTTGTCATCCTTGTATATTGGACACAAATGTTGCCGCAGATGAAATTCACAAATGCAAGGTAACTTCGAGACATGAAAAAATTTCAAAACTTGCTAAGACAGAGTCTGCAGGCCGCTGTTACGACTGGCCTGCTGCAAGAGCCCACGGAAGAGTAGCGTGGTGCTCGGCGGAAGTTCGAACTGCTGGCCCATGAACATCAGGAGCAGAGAGCCAAGGCGGGCAGCGACTCGTGAGAATGGAACGTGACAGAAGTTTGTTTACACATTGTAAGACGACTCATTTCTTGTCGAGCGAAAGCTCCACGGCTCTTTATATGCACTTCATATCTCTTGTCAGGGTAACACCTTCATTTGAAATGTCCAATCACTGTACGAGTGGTCATTTGAAGGCAACGTCCCTCTGACACATATGGTCACCTTCTCCAAGAGAGCGTCCACTGGACCTTCTCCAATAACCGACCGCCACGAGAGAAGAGAGAGGAAAAGTTGTCCCTCTGATTACTGTCAAGCTTTGACGCATCGTGTCAGCAATCCACACCACTCGTCCCAAAACAGGTACCCCACAAGATGCTTCTCCACGCACGCATTCCACCCCCCGCCCACCTTCCTCACATACTTGAAAGACTTCAAAGGTGAAGACCGGTCTCTTGCAGGCACTGCATCGTCTTTGCTGCCCATGGGACATACTAGTTCTCTGAAGCCAAAGGGGGAAGAGGCGGGGGGTTCCTTACTGCCCAAGGAAGGCTTCTGTGAACTGTTGGCACAATGCCTTGCAAACACTTAATGACGCCACCAGCAATTTTGGTGAAAAGTAAAAGTCGTCACAAGGGCGAGAAAACTTCAAGACAGAAAAATTTCATATTTGCAAAAGTCTAAAAGGTCTAAAAGGGTGAAAAAAATTCCCCAAAGTGTGAGGATTCCAAATATCTAAAAATTCAAGCATTATGGCAAAGTTTCTTTGTGAAGTGGTGCGTGCATTGTCACCTCTATATAGAACCACAGCACTTAATATATGGGTTCCATTATGTATTGAACAACTTGTAAACACTATCTCCAGAACCAAGCAAGCCGCTACAGTACTTAGCTTGTGTCCGAAAAAGCATTGGTTGGAACCACAGCGCAGGTTCTACGGGAAATAAGCGAAATTCATTCTTTTATGTATGCACTGAAACTCACAAGTTCACCTTTTGTTTTTACGTTAGAATAGTATTATTGTACACAGCATCTTCCAAACATTGCTTCCTGTATCCTGACAGTAGACAAGTGTGTACAGTGTGCAGTTCGTAACTGAAAGGGCGCTGGTTTGAACAGCAGTGTTGGCATTGCAAAGAAAACAGTAAAAATGAGGTCATGCCATGAAGCGGGTACCGACGCTTAAAGGACCCCTGACAACGAAAGTTTTGTTTGCGACTTCTTTAGTGTAATATGTAGCATTGCGTCTAATTAGACCGCCATTGAATCGTAAATACTCAGAAGCATGGTATAATTAGTGCTAGCATGGTTAATTCAGTACCATTTTGCGTCAGTTCTAAACGCCCGCTTAAATACTACAAGAAACTAGCGCCCTACAGCTGGGAAGCGCGTGAGACTACGTGCGCTCAAGCATGGCCTGGCTAGACTGCACCTCCGCGCGCTTCTTCTTTATGGCCTTCTCACTCGTCGCGAAAGCCATGAGAGAGTTTCTGAGTATGTTTCGCCACCCGTCGGCGGTATGGGCGCAACGACCCTGACCTTCCAATTACTGCGCCGCGCACACGACACAAGAGAGTTTGTCGATGGAATGGGGATTCTCGACAGAGAGGGGAATCATAAAAGAAATCAGGGATAGAGGGAGGATCGTCTACTTTAAAAAAAAAACTAATCTTACCAGACGGCTTGCCGCATAATGTAGGTATGCATATGTTCGTGGATAATACAAGCTGAAACTCAGTAAAAATGCGGAGGAATCGGCTAACGAGAGGCATAATTCAGGAAGCATAAACCACTGGAAACGATCAGAGAGAATTAGAAACAGTGCTGCACCTGTTCTGCAAGCAGAGAGCACCAACTACCTTTGGCCCTTGGTCTCGTTGGACAACAACATCGCAATTAAGAGAGGTCGCTTGCAGAATCACAAGTACACCTTCCCTTTGCCAGCTCTTTTCGATTTTTTTATTTTTTCAAATACGTTTGGAGGGGTTTTCAAGGCTAAAAGCTGCGGTCTACACAGCTCTTTGAAACGCGCACGTGTGTTGTATATCTTATGGTTAAAAAAAACTGCGTATAAGGAGAAAGAAAGTAAAAAAAGACAGGACCCTCGCTGCTGAATAACCCTTTCGGACGGCACGCACAGAGAGTGGTGGTGTGCATTGTCAATGTGTTAACACCACCTGGAAATACTGGTTTCGGAATCCCCAAGCTCTTTTGCATTTTTTGTACTGCAAGTCACGTCCATGGAGAATGCGAAGTACGCAGCTGCTTAATTAAGTACACTCGCAAGCGACTTGCGCCGGAACTAAAACTCTAGTGCGAATCAGTTCTGTGCTATCATTCGAGTTTGTAGAATATGTTTGGAAAGAGCAACTTACAACATTACAACTTTCCGACAAGTAAGCAGCTTTTTTTCTAAAAATTATGAATTCTATTGTGGCTTAGTGCTATAAGCAGGTTGTTGTCCATTTCCGTTTATCTCTAGTGTGGCTTGCTTTATCATGGGACTTACCAACACTGCTGCATTTCATTCGGTGCTTTATCACTGTTAAGTCTGCAGTGATTTCTCAACTCGAGAAAGCTGTCGCACAACCCTCAGTACGTGCATTATATACGCACATCAATATATATTAGCTGTGTGAAGATGTATTGCTGTGTTCCATATTGCAAGTCCCGTTCAGGGAAAACACGAAAACACCCTGTGTTCCTTCTCATCAACTCGCAAACACTGAGCTGTGCGCCAAGTGGCAAAAGAATATTAAGAAGTGGAAACATTGTCATCAACGAGAAGTCTGCATCGACTGTCGTATGCAGCCGACACTTGCGCGACGAAGACTATGTGCCTATACGTTCAGCATCATAAATGTTATTCCTGACTCCGCACCTATTCGTTTTGAGGACTACCCTTCCCACTTCATTCCAAGGTCAAAGAAGCCTCGCAAATATCCTGCTTCACGAGCAGGGCCGGATTAACAGTGCGAAGAGGCCGGTTAAAAAAAAAAATAAGGGGGCCTCCTCCCCTCCACCTTTATTTCTCACTTTGTCATCGGGTCATGCTTGAGACTTGACGCTTATTAGATTTAGCTGCCAAGGACACATACCATATTTATTCAAAGCCTCTCCGAAGTGTTTTATGTGACCTGGGCGTTTTCATTCTTGCGGAGCACATGGAGAGCTTGTCATCGTAACGGTTATATCAGGAGACGAAAACACGTGGCCAGCATTAATATTTGTCTGGTTCGTTGTATCATACTGAAAGAAGACTAAACTGAGCAAGAAGTTGAGACGAAAAGAAGAAATTCATACGAAACTTAGAAGTGCAGTCCAAGCACCGTGTGTGTTCCTTCCATTCGTCTAAACCTATTGTGTTGTTTACCCTTATTTCAATAGAGGGCATCTTCCCTCGACAACAAGGGAGTGTCTTAGTGAAAAATAGCTTCCTTTATTTGATTCAGCTTCACTGAATCGATACCGCACGTTTTGGTTGCCTGCGCGCAAGCACTGCTGAAGTTGACAGGTGGGCCTTTTTCAGAAACCTTTCACCCGCACTTACAGTAAATACGCTACCAATCGTTTATCTCGTTTAGATTTCATACAACAACACATATTTAAGGGTGTATGGTAGGGTAACCACCCTCCAAACAAAAATTGAATTTGCGATTTCAACACCAAAAGATCCACTGTACTTTGAGGAACTAACTTGTCGACAGGTTGCTTCAAGCGGTTTAAAAACCGCGATGGATGGATGGATGGATATGGCTGTACCCTTTAGATCGGGCGGTGGCTAGCGCCACCAAGCCGTAATACTTAATGAACCCAAAACTATATTTTTTTCCTTAAAAAGTGAGTTTGAGGATTCGTACTTTGCAGTGAAGAGTTTAATTTTCACTCGTGCCTTGAATTTAGCCACCAGTCAGATAACCTCCTTCTAGTTAAGTCTACTTGCTTAAAGTCTATTTTGCCCTCCCGGTCCCTAAACCCCAGTGCTTTGAAAAACTCTGCGCCATCATCCTGAACTGTAGGGTGAAGCCCTTTACAGAACATTATCAAGTGTTCGGCAGTTTCTTCTTCCTTTCCACACGCACTGCGTACTGTGTCTACCCCTTTGTATTTGGCCCAATATGTCTTGGTTCTGTCTTGGTTCTGTCTTCTGGCGCCGAAGTGTGCTTCGCGCCATCT